TTCAGCTCATGCCAGAATTCAGTCTCAAATACAAGCAAGAATTCCAATGGCACTCTGTGCCTTCCATAACTTTGGTGTAACATTTAACCCTGACATATTCCCCCTCAGTGAAGACATTGATTCCCAGGAAGACAACTATGATAGTCTTCTTCCCAAACTTGGAGATGAGGTGCCAAGTACTGCAGAGAGGCAGCATTGTAGGAATAGGTAATAGAAGAAACCTAGAAATAGTAATTATCAGTAATGGGCAAGTATTTGTGCTTGACCCAAAAGGGAGGTCCTGCATGGAGAAAGAAAGGTGTAGTAAAAAGGTAAAAATGTGAACTAAAATGAAGACTTAGCTCTGGGATGTCTTCCTACTGGTCTAAATGTCTTGCCAGTCCTGCTGGCCCTTTGGGTACTCCCCAAAGTAATAATTCTATCCTCAAAAACTTGCCAAAATGCAAGATGAAATCACCCTACTACTGAGGGCCTGTGACATGGATTTTGTTCTATAGTAAACTGAACTCCCATGAACACAGCACACCACTTAGTCAGCAACACAGCTGCTCACCACCAAGTCCAGTGGTACAAACACAAAAACAAAAGCAAGAAATAAAACACAAGTCCCCCAACCCCTATTTGCTTCCAACCAGGATGACTTCTCCTAGGGAACTCAAACTCATTCCCTATATCTGAGGGGTGGTTTAGAATTCAACCATCCTCAATCACTCTTCTCCTCACACAGACATCCTCACCCTTGCATCTGCTTCCCTCAAACATAGCTCCTCACCCTCTAACTTCTCAAACCTTGCACCTCTGAACACAGCTCCTTCCACCCAGAACCACTGCCTGGCCTCTCAAACATGCACCCTGCTTCTCAAACCCCTCACCCTCCTCACAGACAACCCCTTTGACCCTCAATTACTCCACAGCCCCCAAGTTCCTTGAACTGAATGACCACAGAGGTAACTCTGAGCATGCAAGCAAGTGAGTAATAAATCAAGTGTGGAGCAAGTCAAAGACTGCTTGTTGAGGCACAGTCTTTGCATGAAACAGTAACATGGTGTAACACAGCACTGCAGCTGGTACAGCAGAGGTTGGCCTTTATGAGGCAGTTTGAAGACATATATGTACCTAAAAAAAACTCCTGCTCAGTCATGTATTTACCATCCTTATATGCATATGTGCTCTCAACTCCTGTTGTCCTTAAGACAATCTAACACATAAGAAAAGTGAAAGAAAATTGAAACTAGATGTCAGGGTGAGTAGAATCACCCAAAGACAGGACTTTTGCTATACCATCCTCTTCATTCTCATTTTCACAGCCTCAGCCCTCTGCACATGTGCACACTCAATTCCTTGTACTGCCTTCAGACAGCCATTCTTGCCTCATGCAGCCTTCAGTCTGTGTCAAATGTCATTGTCACTGTCACTCCAATTGCTGCCACTGTTGCTCTTGGTAATGTCACCATCCTTTCTTGCCTTGCAGTTGCCTGGATGTCACTCGCATGCCATTGTGTATAGTCACTTTCTCTAGGATAAAGTAGATGTAAGTGATGTGTTCCGGAATCAAAACAGACCCCTGGGCCATCGAGCCCAACATCTGCACTCATCATGCCTTGTCTCCACTGAACAGCACTTCTAGCCTTGCATGGCCATTGCTCTGCATCCAGTGCTGTTGTCATCATCTCTTGTATTGCAATCATCTGGATGTCAGTCGCTCTTCATCAAATATAGCCATTTCCCCTAGAATAGAGTATCCATAAGTAAAATGCTATGGAATCGAAACAAAACCTTGGGCCATTGAGCCCAGTACCCATGCTTGTAGTGCCTTGTTCCCATCAAATGGCTGTTCTAGCCTCATGTGGCCCTTGATCTGTCCCAAGCATCATTGTTGATGTTCTTTGTACTGCAGTCGCTGTTCATCATAGATAGCTACCTTCCCTAGGGTAAAGCCAGTGTGTTCACAACATCCTGAAGTAAAAATGAAAAGTTGAGCTGTTGAGCTCATTCTGTGTGATCCCAATGGCTCCCTCATGTCACGCTGTGAGTCAAAGTGTGGTTCAGTGGTGAAAACCAACCAAAACCAATACAAAAGACAAAAAGAGCAAGTGTTGGTGTGCCTATGCAGTACCTAGATGGTAGAACCTGTTCTTTGGGAGGGTTTTTGTGAGCTATAACACTCAAAGATGAGTGCTGAAGGTTGGGGGTACTCCTGATGAAGAAGGAGCAGGTGTGTGAGAGAATGTGATAGGGTAGACTGCTGTCAGCCTACAGAAGGATGGATGACAACTTAACTCGATGCTCTGAGCTGCACTGAGCTCAGGGAGGACTTTGAGCAAAGTGGATTGATGATAGATGATAATAAGCAAAGTAGATGATAGCTAGACCCTTAATAAAGTCTCAACTATCAAAGCTGATGGAGGACTTACTGAGTGATGATAAAAATGTGAGCAAGAGGGGCTCTCTGATGTCTTCTTCTCTTTTTTTGCTACCTAAGTACAGTGATTGATATACAGTACAGGGGTGTTGCCCATGGAAAACAAGGTGCAAGCACTTGGTAAGTGATTGGTAGCTGATGAGTAAGGAATGTAAGTGATGGGTGATTGTCTTGGAAAGCATTGGTAAGCATTGGTAAGGATAAGCAAGCCAAAAAGGGGAAGGATCAGTAAGCAAAGTCAAAAGATTGGTAAGTATTGGCAATAGGTGAGTCAAAGACAGTCAAAACATCAAAGTATGAGTCAAGTAATGTCAGGAACTGGGAAAGCATACTGGAATCACATTAGGGGGAGGCTGTGCATGTCACATCTTGAAGAGATTGCTTCTAGGCTGAGCCCATGCACCTGGTTAGGCCATATGAGACAGTCAGCAGAGGCTGACAATTGACTGTCAGTGACAGGCCAGTGGAGGTTGAGCCCATGTATGGCTTGTGCACATGTGTTACATGAGAGCCATGAACCTATTGTCACCTTGTAGTATGGGAGAGCCCAACTGATGAGTGTCACTATGTAGTACAGCTGAGCCTGAGAGGAAATGTTGTCATGAGGAATGGTGCAGCTGTGGTTTGAATTGTCATTGTCAGTTACAAGCAGGTTGGGGAGTAAGTGTCATCATGGACTATGGGAGAGCCCAATAAATGCATGTCACCATAGCATACAGCTGAGCCCAAGAGTAGGAGTCATTATGGAGAATGGCTGGGCAGAGGTTAGAATTGTCATCATGGGGTACAAGCCAGCTGTGGGATTAGGGTGCAGCCACTGCAATATGAGTAGTCCCAGGTAGGCCCAGAGTTGGGTGTCCCCAGAAGGTATGGATGGGCTCAGCCCCTGAGTTCACCCCTGGCAACACTGTCATGCAAGCCAACCCAACACCAATGCCATGCTAGCCATCCTGGCAACACTGCCATGTGGGCCAGCCCACCACCAATGCCATGCAGGCCATCCTGGGATGAATGCCATGTGAGCTGGGCCAACACCAATGCAATATGAACAGGCCCAATACCAATGCCATGCAGGCCAGCACAACACCAATGCCATGCTGGCTGTCCTGGCATCGATTCCACATGGGCAGACCCAATACCAATGCCATTCAAGGCATCCCAGCACCAATGCAATGTGAGCCAGGCCAACACCAACCCAGGACTAATGCCATGGAAGCTGTCCTGGCTGGCACTGATTTAATGTGAACCGGCACAATGCTAATGCCATGGAAGCCATGCTGGCACCAATGCCACATGCTCTGGCACATCACCACTGCCATAGGGCCATCATGGAAGATGTCCCAGCACCAATGTATTGTGAGCTGGCACTGGCACCATTGGAATGTGTTCCAGCACAACACCAATGCCATGGAAGCTGTCCCAGAACCTATGCCATGTATTCTGGCACATCCCCAATACCATGAGGCCTATTGTGCTGGCCATTCTGGCACCATTGTAATGTGTACCAGAACTGGACCAATGCCATGGAGGCCAGCCTGGCACCAGTTCAATGTATTCCAGCATATCCCCAATGCCACAGGTCCATCATGCAGGCCATCCTGGTACCTGCGTAATGAGTGCTGGCACATCCCCAATGTCATGAGGCCATCATGCAGGCCATTCTGGCACCATTGTAATGTGTTCTGGCACAACACCAATGCCATGGAAGCTGCCCTGTCACCGGTTCCATGTATTCCAGCATATCCACAATGCCATGAGTCCATCATGCAAGCCATTCCAGCACCATTGTAATGTGTTCTGGCACAACACCAATGCCATGGAAGCTGCCCTGGCACTGGTTCCATATATTCCAGCATATCCACAATGCCATGAGTCCATCATGCAAGCCATTCCAGCACCATTATAATGTGTTCTGGCACAACACCAATGCCATGGAAGCAGTCCTGGCACCTATGCCATATGTTCTGGCACATCCCCAATGCCATGAGGCCATCAGTCAAGCTGTCCTGGCACCAATGCCATGAATGCCATCCTGGTGCCAATGCCATGGAGGCCTGCCCAGAAATTATACCATGCCATGCCTGACCTGCCTGACCTCCCAGGAGCAGGTCCACAGTGTATGTACATACTGGTACCAGTACCATGCTGGAGATGCATGTATTACCACAATGGTGGCTCTGGTAATGACCAGAAGACTAGCCAACTACCCAGTACATTTAAACTGTGAATTCAATGCCTTACAGCCTCCAGCAAGCCAGAACAATACCATGAAAGTCACCATCATACTATACAGCAAAAACAATTGAGTTATGCTGGCCAGTCATCATTCAATCATCTAGGGTGAACCATGACTCCATTGGCCCTTAGCACTTGTAACACCATGGCCTTGGTACAGACATCACCATACCAGATTGGTTTTCCAGTATCTGAATCATACAGTAACAACTACCAGTAGTGGTAGCTACTTCTTCCTGGAGATCACATTTTGACAATATAGAATATATTGCTGCATCTAACAAAGTACAAGTACAAAGACAAAAAAACACAAATGGATTGTGAAATGACAAGTACATTGATGTTAGTCAACCTCCATCCTACCTTCCTGTCTGGGTGCTGATCTGACTGCTGGTGGTGGTGGAGTAATAGAGATTGCCAGACCTCCAGCAGGTCCATGCACCGCTTTGACATTTGAAGAAGGTACTTCCAAGCCAGCACCTCCCTTGAATGAAGCCAGGGGGGGTTCAGTGGACTCCTGTCTTGAGCTGCATTGGGATGATTGAACCTCTACAACACCAGTTGCAGTGCCAAGTTCCACCATGACTGGCATGTGAGGTACTGGTGTAGGGTTGGAAGTAGTGTGAAATGGGACCAGAGGATGGTTAAGCATGTCTGGGGCTGGGAATAGGTGATTATGGATAGCATCTACCACCTGATGGAGAGCAGCAAGCTCAGTATGGGTTACTTCTATCTCCTGCCTCATGTCAGCATTCTCCCACTTGAGGATGGTAACCTCTTCCTGATACTTGTCACAATGGCACAGATCACTGGCACCAGTTGTAGTAGTTGGCACTGGAGTGATGGGTGGGTCTGTTGCAATGCTTCTTGCATGAGAATGTGACTGGGATAGCCATGACAGAGTAATAATTTCCACTACTTGATAGAAATATTAGTTCAACTGCTTAGCAAAAAACATAGGACTGTGAATAACTTACTGGGGCAGCCAGTCCATGGGCCAGGAGATGAATGACAGCTTGTGACTTTGGATGGACTGGTGGATTGATTTTGGCTTGATGCCCTTTGATGTTTGGCTTGTTGACCAGTTGATGGAGCTGGTGCAGCCAGCATTGAAGTGGTGGGAAGGCCAGCAATGTCTTCTGGGGATCGTTCCCAGTGAGGCCTTGAATGGGAGGCTTTTTGCTGCATCTCAGACTTGTCTCCCCTCCCCTTGAACAAGCTGCATGAGTATTTTGTACAGTGGCATTGCCAGCATGCCCTGCCAGCTAGCACCATACAGGGCCAACTCCTGTCCTGGCATCTCACACACTGCTCAGCTTCCAGCACTACCTCCCAGGACTCAGGAGGGTTGTTGATGTTTCACTGGTCCTGCACATCCTCATCAACTGCTGGTTTCACCTTCTTCATTGGTCTCCTTGACTGGCTCCTGGCCTCTACTAGTCTGATCACTGGCATTGACAGGCTTGGCTGCTGGCCAGCCATGTCTTGACTGGCTACAGCCCCGTGCCTTCTCCCTGTTCTGATCCTCCTCATTTCCTGGCTTCTGCATCACAACTCCAGTGGTCCTAGCCATAGTTTCTGTGGGTGCATCTTTGGATCCCATATCAGTGGTCTACCCAATTGCCATCCTCAGAATTAGTGCTCACCCAGATGCTGAATCCTTTGAGCCTCATCCATACCCAACTCTTTCCCCTTCCCCTTATCCACTGGCTGTGCCTGGTGCTTGGCCCTCAATGAAGGCCCAGTAAGCTCCTCCATGACCTTGTAATATGGGTGAGACTTAGGCTGGTGATGAAGGCAATACCATGCATGATCCTTCACATCAGCCTCTCGTGTTGTCATCATCTGGTTGAAAGGTGGCCATGTCTGCATGGCAAAGATTGTTGCTGGGTCAACCATGTGCATATCAATAGCAATAAGATGCAGAGGGATCTTGAATGCTGGGGGTAGATGTTCAACAACCATGCAGACCATGCCCTACATAGATTTCAGGAATGGATATCATGGCTGCGATTTCACTTACCAGCTGGGCCCACACAAGCTGAGCTGCTTTGCCCCAGTGCTTAGTGTCCTGGCCCCAAAGTCTTCTCAGTGCCTGCATTGTAACCCTGGCAGCCTCCTCAACCATCCACTTGGCATTTTCAGCAGTGATGACTGGCTGGATGTTGTTGGTTGATTGTGCCAGGATGAAGGTGCTGGTGTTGGCAGTAGACATAGTGCTGTTAAAGCTTTGGTGTGCAGGTGGTGGGTGCTTGAGTGGTGTGGTGAATTCACCAGCTAGCATACACCATTCAACAGGCTTACATAAGCACAATACAAATGCTCACTCCAGTGATGCTGTGATTTACAATAGTCAATGTACTGGTTTAACCATTGAACATATTTTGGTGGGAGTAATGTATGGCAGTTGACAGTCATTCCACTAAGTGCCCATTTCCATTATGTATGCACTTGCACATCCTGCATGATGACTGGTGAAAAAATATTGTGTAATACAATCTTATCACTGGTACTGAAATCATTCTCAAACATCAGTGTAATCCCCACAGCACCTACAATGTTTTGAATTTTCATATGGCTCCCAGAAATGTTAGATTCAGTTCCAGCAGTCCAGATAAACTCTGTAAGTCAACCAGTCCAAGGACCATTACTTCTAATGACTGTGTGCAGTAATTCTGTCATGCCATGATATGCAGTGGCTTGCATCTCTCAATGAGGATGAGGAAATGTTTACTGAAGATGACCTGCTGGATGCTCCATCATCCCCATTATGCAAGCCACCTTTTGAGCTGTCCCCAGCTCAAACAACACACACAACTGGAATGGAACCCTCCTTCCAGTCCTCTGGTTTGCCCAGATCACCTTTGATAGAGCCAGCATGGGAGTCATTGGCACCATCTCCCTCCTCTAGCAGCCCATTGGTTGAGCCTCCTTGAGACTCCATATCAACATGCCTCTCTGACCGCACCCCATTACTTGAGCCAGCATGGGACAAATCACCACTGCCTGTTGCCCCAGTTACACCATTGCACAAGCCACCTTGGGGGTCACCCTGACCATTCCAGTCCCCACTGGTCAGTCCTTTACAAGAACCAGCATTTCTGTCACCTGCTGCCACAAGATCATCAGCTTACATCTACCCAACTCATGCAGCTGGCCAATCATCATGACCACTCATCCTATTGCCTGAGCCCCAATTTCAGTCCTTAACTCCCTCTGTGTCACCAGCCTGTCGCAATCCTATCCCAGTTCCCAGCCCAACACCATTTGCATTGCCTGGTGGCAATTTCCCTGGTCCTTGTCAACCTATGGACCTTTCAGACACTCCTGCATCATTCAGCTCCACATCAATACCACCAGCTAGATCCCCATCACTGGTGCCAAACCCATTGTCGCATTCAGAGCTTTTAGCAGTCTCCCAGGAGTTCACCATACAGCTGGGAGTTGATACTCCACAAACCAAGTGTAAGTCCAGAAGTTCCTATGCAACCATAGCTAAACATGTCTACCAGTTCAAATGTCAAGGTGGATCTCCAGTATCATGGCTAGGAGTGGGGCACATCAGCCAGACATCAATGCTGCACATGATGCCAATCTGATCACTGCATATAGGTATTATGCCAATACCCTGGTGGATGCAACCAGGGAGTGGCAATCACATGTTGAGCAGTATGCCATGCTTACCAGATTCTGGCAACAGTTAGCAGATCTTCTGGAGGAAGAGCTGGCAGGTGTAGGCTACCATCTTGAACCAGACCAGCTTTAATTTGTATATTTAACTCATTTCAATGAACATTATGTTGAATGGAATTGGAGAAGTGCACAAATTGGCCACAATTGGATTATGACAGTGGGTTATGGTACATGGTAGCTATGGGGCCAGTAATTCACCAGTGATTCTTGCACTGTGCACTATATATGGTTGTCACCAGTCTACTAGAAAACAGTAGGTACTGGCCTCAATTCTACCTTCACCTCCTCATGGTTGGAGTAGGATAATTATCATCTGGCTGCTGTGGGGGCCTACAATTCCACTCTGGGTGACAAGCCACACCATCCTCTTCTGCTTGATCCAACAGTTCATCTTCCCTGTCCATTTCACAGCATCTAGGGCTGGCATTCAAATTCCTACCCACTAGATCAACTCCTGACATAGATAAGTGTGTGTAATTGTGTTATGGATGTATACCTGCAATCATTAGGTAATATGACCATCTTATCATTCTGGGCTGCTGTAGAATGCTGTAATGAGAGGATTAACCAAGTGTGCATGGAAACTGACCATTGGATCTGATTCTTGGCTTGGGCTTGGGCTTCCTTGCAGTTGAATTGCCACCATCATTGGCATGATTGTCTGATACAATTCTATCAGCAATATTCATTGTCGCTGGATACCACTTACCAGCTGGCTTGGGGTATGCAGTAGCCATATTGCACTGGTCTGATGTGGACTGGTTCTGTCATCTGTTGTCCTCCTGTGCATTGGATGTTCCAGTGGGATGATCTTCAGCACACAATTCCAAGGCCATGTTAGGGTTACCAGTAAAGAATCTGACCAGCTCTGACATACCATCTATCTGTTGCCATTTGGTGGAAGGTTTTGTGGGAGGAGCTGGTTCCTCCTCTGAGTGATGTCTGTAGTTGGAGCCATCAATGGAATTTACTTAATGTGTGATCAGTTATGTATATCCAAATTGATCATGACCTCACCTTCTGTCCAGGGTCTCTTCCCTTTGGCTTTGTCTGACCAGTGTTGGTGTTTGGTGACCAGCTCCTCCAGGGAACCATCCTGAGATCTCCACCTTCGGAACCAGAAGACATCTTCTGGGTGCTCCTGCTGTTGCTCCTTCCAGAACTCCAAGGTTTCAGTTAGTTCATGATGTGTCAGCCTGGTGGGCTCTTTGAATGGGATATTGGGAGGAAGATACTTGGAAGACACATAGGATGCCCAGTTGTCAGCTATTGCAGCCCAAGGTACATTGGCATTTGTCTTCCCACAAGCCAAGCCTGTGTTTAGATGTTAGTAACTCATTGACCATGGAAGTTGGCATGTACAATAATGGCCAGTTATGAACACCCTCATGATGTCCTTTAATTCTGGTGTCTGTAAGTCCAAGAGATTTGGAAGAATTGGCATGCCATCATCATTGGTGGACAGGGAGAACTGAGACTGCTTTTTTCCTTTCTGTGCTTTTACTGTGGTTTGACTGGCCTCATCCTCTCCACTGCCATCCTCCATACCATTGGCCCCAAAGGCCTTCTTTGCATAGGCTGACCACTTTCCATGAAGGTCTTCCCAATCCAAATAGAGCTCTCCATCACCCAGCTTGTCATTGAAGTCATTCCTACACCAGTCAGATATGGTGAAGCCTGTCAGGAAAGCACTCACACTCCAACCATCACTTTGCCTTCCTTATCCTTCCATGCTGACATGATCACCACTCTCATCCCACACTGCTTCCACATGTCATATGCAAACTGTTTTGCATACTTCCAGCCCTTACTTGTTGCCACCCCGCATTTAAGTTAGTATTGCCCATGGGAGAACTTGGATGCTTACTCTGCCTGGGCTTCGGGTGGCAGCTTTCTCTCATTCCACTCTTTTGCCAAACAGGCTGCCTGGTCCAATTCAGCCTTGGTCAATGACTGGACTACCTTCTGAATGGCTGGCTGATAGTGTTTGATCATAGCCAATGTCCTGGGATGTATTCCAGCCTTCACAAGTACTTGCTGGATATCCTTCTTATGCTGCAGCTTGATCACCTTTAGGGCCATCCATTTGGAGCCATACTTGACCAGGGCCTTCTGTGCATGGGACTGACTGTTGTTATACATCCAGTTCTTGATCACCTGTAAAATATACTTAACATGACTGCAAGCACATCAAAACCATCAAGCTTACTGTCTGTTTTCTATTCCATTCATTTTGTTTGAGGCTCTTGTTGGCATCCAGCCATTTGATTTTGTTCTACATGCCCTCCATCAGTGAGACCCTTTTGTTCATGTCAGCTTCCTTCCAATCATTTAGACCATTTTGGAGGATTTGAAGTTTGTCCAGTCTCAGCTTTCCCAGTGCAGATTTTGTTGTCTCTGTGCTATCCAAGCTAGATTCCTCATTGGAGGAAAAGTCCTCCTCATCTGAGGTATTAACACAATTAGTACTGTGATCACTGCTGGCCATTCTGAATGTTGGAGAAGGTGTTGGGGTTGGTTAGTTGCAGGTAATGTTACCCTCTGTTGAAAGAAAATTTGGAGTCTGTTCCTCATAGTTACCATCACCCATTCTTGAATAAAGTTCCAGGGGCCAAGTAATGTTCTGGTCATGATACATACCCATTGTTAGTATGGTCTTGTTCCAGTCAATCAGTACCATGGCCAAACATGGTAAGCTGATTCATCTATCATCCAGTCTGCTACTATGTATAGATAAAGTATAGTTTGATCTTGATTGGATCTTCTGACATTGATTCCAAGATCCAACTCAAATCATAGTCATGCCAGGCATCACAATGAGGCATGTATGGCTGAGGCCTGCAGACATCCTGCAAGGACTTGATACTAGACATGGGCAAGTCACAAATCACCCAAGCTGCAGTGGCCACCCTGGTAACCCATGTCACTTGGAAAAAGGTGAAAACAACCAGGGGATCCAAAGAAAAGATGGTCAAGTTTACTCTGAGAAAGAAGGCAAGATATGCAACTGGCCAAAGCAACAAATCACCTACTAGGGCAGGATCTTCAAGCATCCAGGAACCCAATTTAGTCCAGGGTAATGATGCTGACCTATATTGCTACATGGATGATGCATCACCACTGAGGACATCAAGAATTCCAAAAAGCCAGGTGTGCATTATCAAACATCCCAGTGTTGGCAATGTGTGCTTTATGGTATTACAGAACAGTTATCTGGAAGAGTGGCTGCCCTATAAGAGTAGATACCTGTCTGTGCTCCTGGACATGGAGGCCCTGCCTGATGTCATGGCTTGTTTTGTGTGTAAAGCAGAAGGGGCACCATATAGATGCATGGACTGTGCTCATCACCCATTGTCTTGTAAAACATGTTGCATCAAGCAACACAAACTCAGACCATTCCATTGGGTACAAAAATGGAATGGAAGATTCTTTGAAGACTTCACTCTACAGCTGGTGAGTTCTGGCTTCAACCCATCATCTGTGATGACTGATATCATAGGTTGGTTTGGTGCTACACTTGGGCCATGCTGGAGCACCATGCCTGGCAGGGGAAGGTTCTTGGGAGGATGCTGCCAGCCATGTAGATGAAGAGTGGGAGGACATCAAGGAGAGTCAACGACTGGCACATCTCAACCCACCAGATGATAGAAACTATCTGACAGTTGTGGACACTGGCAGCATGCACTTTTGCAATGTGCAGTATTGCAACTGCCCTGGGTCTGAGGATTCACATCTTTGGCTTACCATGGCCAGCCTATTCCTGGCTACAACTAAGGCACCAAGGACAGCTTTGACTTTCCAGGTGCTGGATGACTTCATCAGGGACAATGTTGAATGTGGAACCTCTGCCATGAACTATTATAGCAAACTTCAGAGAGTCACCTCAAGCACATTTCCTCACCTAGTGCTGGTGAGTGTGATCACCCCTGGCCTACCATATGCCACATTGCTTATGCTGGTCAAAGAATAGGTATAGGGAATTGCTCAGGGTGTCAAGAATGTGGAGGCTCCTAAAGCTGTTGAAATGGCAGGGATTCCATCAACAGTTGCCTGATCCCTGGGCCAGTGAACTTGTCCTCTTCTGCCCTGCCTGTCCCCAGCCAGGGATCAATGTACCAGATCAGGATATCAATCTCTCTGAGTCTGTATTCTATTCATTATTGCAAAGGCATTGTTAGCCTGACTTGTGTAGCTGCCAGTTTGCTAGGACCTTTGTGATGGATGGCAACTTCAAGGCTGAGCATATGCTGCCCAAGAATGCTGCTGAAGAGGTCTGGCTCATGGATGGAAATGGCTTCATGGTCACATCAGCTCCATACAAGGAATATTTGACTGGGACCATAAATTGAATAGAAGTTGGTGCACCATGATCTCTCCAAAGGCACCAGACTGATTGCATCATGCAGAAATCTGACTGCAATAACCACTGGGCTGTTAATCAAGCAAATGCACAAAGGAATAAGTTGGAATTGACTGGGATTGGTGGATGTGCCTGTGTGAGGCATGGCTGTTTTGTACCTCATGCAATGGTTGACTTTCAGAAGGGAGAGCAGCATGCACCAATTCATAGTCCCTGGTCATGACTAACAATATAGCAGGCAGGTCAATATGGATTATGCTCTGGTCCATGCCATGCACCATGGATTGGACCCCTGGCAACCAGTCATAACCTTTTATGACATCAATTGTCAGTATAGCAAGAACTTGGCCCACCAGCTTGAGGAAAATAGATATCTCTCTCTGCCTTTTGGATTACAGATTCAGCCCAACATTGGACTATGGCATGTCCATGGCCATCAGACAGAGTGCTTCACCAGATATGCTCCAAACTTTATTCTGGGTGCCAGCCAGGTGGATGGTGAAATCATGGAGACCCTCTGGTCTTCTCTCAACATAATCTCACCATCAGCCCAGGGAATGGTGACAGCACACTGTCAGGAGTTGCTGGACTTCCAAATGAATGATAGTAACTTCCTCAAAATGATATGGATGTGTATGTCATCACAGTACATGGTTGACCATCACTTGATTACTTGCACATAGCATCGGCATTGAAACAGATGTTCAAGGTTGCCAAGCAGTCATTAGCAACAATCCAAGATAAATTCAATGAGTTGGATAGCAAGGTACTGGATGGCTTGCATCAGTTATGGGTGGAACAAGAACTTGTGGCACAGTCATGCCAGCAGAATACTCCACAGGCCATGGACATATATGAAGTCTGGCTGGAGAAGGGTAAGGGGGCCAACTGTATCGTCTGTCCCATAACTTACATACATCATGGTAGCACCCACCATGAAAGCCATTGAGATTGACCTAATCCATAACAACCATTCATTCAGCAGCTCATGTGGTTCAGCTACTTGGATTGCACAGGCATTAAAGGTTGAGCAGGCTCAAATAGTGCTTGCTATGGATACATGACAGATGGACCCCAGGGCAACAGAGGCAGACTGGTTGTTGATTTCATGCCAGCAAGACTGGTTGCAATCACAGATTGATGCACTAGTACATGGAGCAGCCCAGTTCATTGGAAATGACTGGCAAGTTAACCCCAGGCAAAGGCCCAGAAGTATAGCCCCATTCGACAGGGACAGCAACAACAAAACTGATGATCTGTTCCTCCCTGATTATCCTGGTCACCAGGAGGTCAGCAATGTTCCACTGCCATCATATATCAGAGTACAGTATTTCCATGACATTGGCCTTGGCAGTCTTGTGGAAGAGGAAATACATCTGAGACAGGGCCAGGCAAATGATGCATTGCATGAATTGCATCTGGACCTTGTGGACAAGGCTGTGAGAGGGTGATGGTGTGGGGGACTTTTGCTTATGCTTATCTTTCAGCCTCTGAGAGGCTCTGCACTCATTCACAGTCCCTCCTGCTTGTCTCTTGCCCTTATCACATCCCTTGCCCTTGCTACTCACCCCACCACCATGATGACCTCCTCCAATGCTATCATCTCCCTCTCCCTGTGCCTTTCCCTTGACTTTATCTGCAGCACTGCCTTGCAGATGTTCTTTGTATGTGTATCTGACTGTTTGAAGTTAGAATGCAGTAGATGGGGAAAGACAGTATCCCCATGCTTACAGTCAGCGTCCTCATCCTCCACTGGATCATAGAAGTCTGCTATCACATAGATCAGTCTCCATGCCACATCCACAGTCTTCATGTTCTCATCCATTTTGAACTGAGTCCAGCTCCCATACCACATCCCACCCAGGGAGTGCTCATGGAGAACCCAGTCTTTGGTATAAGTATGTGAATAGCAGCAAAAGGATACAAGGAAATTGAAACACTTACCAACCTCTGCAATGCTGGTGCAGTTGATGTTGTGGTCATTGTTGCATCTATAATTCCTCACCTGGGCTGGTTCATGGTGCTGCATGAAATATTCTATCAATAAGTAGTTGTTGAATGTTGGACTGTGCCAATCAAGGTGTGATCTCTGCATTTGACTTTCTTTGCCTCTGCAACTACTTGAACAAAAACCCTGTTCATATATGTGAGGATCATGGTCAGATTCTGCACCAGCAGCTCTTCCACCTCCACCTCCTTCTTGGAGTGAAGCACCAGCTGGATCACCTTTTCTCTCCAGGTGAAAGCCTGAATAGGCTTGTTGTAGTGATGGGGGAGCTCCATGACAACTTTATTGGCAGCATTGGTGACCTGGCATGGTCAGATGGACCCTTTGGAGCCTCCTGGAGCCAACCTAACATGCCAATCTTTTTCCAACAAGGCTTTGGGATTGTGGATGAATCTGAGGGAGGACAGGTAGTACTGGGTAGCCATGGTAGTAGTCAAGAACATTATTCAGACAGCATAAGGTGGTAGAAGCCTTTGCAAACACAGGTATTGGAGGTATATGATAAGTTTCAGTATGGCCACCTGACTTCCCCCAGTCTACATTTTGCTAGACAATGTTTGTCATTGTTTGGCATGTCACAACAACCTTTACTGATGTTAGTAAGACTGCCCAAGGTGTTGGAAGCATGGCGAACACAGGTTCTGGTGGTATATGATAAGTTGCAGTATGACCACCTGACTTCCTCCTCTCCATATATTTGTTCTTTGTTGTTCTCTTCTGTGCTCTTTCTCTCTGTCTGCTTATGATTGCTTCTGAAAGTGTGTTCCATGGCCAGGCCTACCACATGGGCAATGGCCTACCAGACCCTAGGGACACTCTGCTATGAAACTTGGATCAATGCCAGCATCCTCAACTTTCATCTCCTGTCCCAATGGTATGCTGTCCAGGGCAGGATGCATGTCCACTATGCTGACTTGTTCTCTGTCATTCCATCTGTCAGTGGGGGCACCCATGCCTTACCAGATGCACAGGAGATTCAATTTTTTCATCAATGCCATCTCTTTGATTCCCATCCTGCTGATCCATCTGTTCCCATTGCCTTTGTGGTCATGCAAAACAGTCACTTCTTTGTTGCAGTCATTGATTATTGGTTGAACCTTGCATTCATCCTTGGAAGGTGCATTGAACATGTCCCTGAAACCCCCCATCCCTACTATGACCCACTGCACAATGACTGGAACACATGGAATGGCCCTTTCTACTGGACACACATAGCATCTCTTCATGGATTTGGTGCCAGTGACCCAACCCAAGTTGATGTGCAGGTGTACAATTGGTCACAGAATGGTTTTGACTGTGGGCCCATTGCATCCTCTATCATGGAGTCACTCATGAGAGGAGGGCTATCTGGTGATGGCAGGCCTACCATTCACATCCCTCCAATTCCTTGTGGTCATTGTCTCTGCCTTAGAATGCTTGTCATGGTGAAGGAGGGCTGTCAAAGGTGCTGGGAGGACTATCATTACTTGTCTACAACCACCCTTCCCCCTGGCCACATATGGACACAGTGGGATGACACTGAAGCCATTGGTGAAGACATCCTCATGGATGTGGAAAACCAATCATCTGGAGAGCAACATGCTACCATTGTCTGTGAGTTGAATGTCATTGGGGCCAACTGCCTTTGCTGCCAAAGGGGGGATGACTCTGGCAATGTAGTGAACCCTGATGTGCACTCTGATGGTGACTTTCTGACTGACACTGAAGATGAAGGTGAAGACCATCATTTGCCTCAGGATGCCAAGTCTCAGAGTCTCAGGGATCTCCTTTGGCACTACCCATATGTGAGCAGGGCCAGAGCCAGGGATCAACTTCCTCCTCAGGCTGCCCATGGTCATCAAGTTGAAGGGGAATCCACTCCAGATGATCCCCTTGAGATCATCCAGCAATGCAAGCATGTCAAGGACTGGTTGGCTGGAATGATGTACCATTTCCCACATCCAACTCCACCAGTATACCTCCCTGCATACCAGGGTCAACAATGGAAGTGTTTTGATTGCAGGTTTGATGAGTATGAAGGAGGACCTGTCTTGGAAAGCTTGCACCAGGACTGCAACTGCAATGAGATCATGGAGGAGCCCTACTACCAGCCTGGGATGTGGACATCCTTTTGAGATTATGGGTATTGTCTGCTGAGTTCCTCCAACCAGATGTTCTACTTGGGTCCCCTCATCAGATTGTCAGACCATATCCTCCAAGTGGGTGTTCTGGCTAACTATGAGTCTTCTCATCAAATTGGCAACCATGTTACTGGTGAGTGCTCATATTCTGCCCTGGTGCCCTCTTTTGATTGCTTCATTACAGGAAATTACTCTCTTGCCTGGCAGGTGCCCCATCCATCAAGAGTCAATGTGGATGATGTGGTCATACTGGGTGCCTCTCAGATGATCAAGATTGGCTCAAGCACCTCAGAATGTCTTGTGAACACCTTTGTGAATTGGTGGCATGAGGATGGATGACACATCTGCCTGGACCTGGAGCTGGATCACAAGTTGGTGACTCCAGAGGAGTGGGAAGTCACCATGGACATCAACAGTCTCATATGGGTGACACATTCCCTACAGTTCAACACACTGCTGCCCATCTACCTTGGTCCTATTGTTGAGGAGAAGGCTCCTATGCACAAGCACAATCATGTGTACATTGACATCCTTGTGCCTCAGTCAGAGGCAGATTCCAGTGCCATTGGAAGCTGTACTGAATGGTTGTGAGGGAGTCCATGGCCCTTCTCCAGGTCTCCAGGGTGTGTGAGTGGTTGGGAATGCTCTTCCTTTTGGACCTGGACTTGCATCATGTTTCCCATCTTCCAGAAGTTCAGGATCATGACGAGCTGGAGGTACTCAAGCTGATGGAGGGAAAGTTGAAGAGGGGTGATGGACAACCTGCCTGGCCAAGGATTCCCCCTCTGGACAACATGGAACAATTTCCCATTGGCAGCAGACCAACATGGGCCAAATTGACAAGGACTATCCAACTGCAGCCTTGGTTGATCATGCAGGACTGGAAGTGGTTGGCCCAACTGTCCATTCTGGGGCCAGTGATAGGGAAACTTTTTGTTCTGTTTACCTGTCAACTTTGGATCCAGTTGGATGTGACTTGGCTGACAGGTCCAGAGAGAAAACTGGTGCCAACATCTTTGGAAGATGCCATTCAGAGTTGGACTCTGAACAAGACCTTCAGGACCATATGTGCCTGTGAATTCAAAAGCTTTGCAGAGAGGGTCAATCTGTTTTTCCCACAACCCACAGCAGGACAACCTTCACAGAGGTAGCCATGGAGTGTCTTCTGGATGAAGCCTGGCTATGTTTGGGAGTATCACCAGGAGATGAAGAACAGGACACCCCTGGAGGAGTTTGAGGTCCTGGACCACCTTGGCAGGATATTTGCCATCCTTCAGATGTTACCTGATGTGGCCAAAGGGAGTGACAAGAGTCCTGGGATGACATGGTGGGTGGAGGGTGAGAAGGTGGTTCTGGTGACAAATCCCAAGTTCTACAAGATTGAGGGGATCTCCACTGAGAAGGAACAGCAGCAGGCCAGGAGATGAGCATCTCAAGTGGTAAAGCCCAGGAATGCACTGCAGATGGAGCTCCTGGAGCATGCAGGATATGACAAACTGCTGGCTAGCAAGGCCCTCATCTTAGAAAGGCAGAGGCTGAAAGAGGCACAGACAAAGAAGTCATCCAAGGCAAAGAATGCCTGAGAGCCTCCAGCAAGAAGAGGGAAGGCCTTGCATAGGGTGGAGGGTTAGGGGACCACCTCATAGTGGGAAGCAGAGGGATGGGGGGGGAAGGCAAGGATATGGGTACAGAGGGAGAAAGTGATGAATGCAATGTTGATATAGATTGTGGCTCCCATTCCTGTGGAACTGAATCCCAGTGTTGCCTAGTGTAGTCTGATCAGGTAGCAACATGTTTGGCATCTTGGGATGATACTGGACCCCAACATGAACCCCCCTCTTCAGCTTTGCTCCATCAAAACACTCCAGATCAATCCAGCTGCCCATACCATGTCTGTGCCACTTGTATGACATGGCAGGACCATTTGGATCACACCAGAAAGGACCCTATGTGTCATTCCCCTCCTCTTATCCTGGGGGTGCTAATCCTGTAAAATTTAGGAAGCATGAAAGCTTGTCAGGAATGGTTGTCCTGGAGGGCCTGAAAGTTACAACAGATGATGACAATGGTTGCAGCACTCCTAAGTATCAGAATATCCATGTAAGATATGTTACCCCTCTCCCCATGTTCACTCCATCAAAACAATTTCAGAGATCAAACTGGCTGTCTGAATCATGTCTAACCCATCTGTATGACATTACAAGACCATCAGAATTGCATTACAAAGGTCCCCATATTTGTTTCATTGACATGCCTGATCCCCTCCTTGTACCCCAGGGATGGCAATCTGGTAGCATCAGGAGGGGGTGCCAGCTTGCCAGGGATGGATGTCCTGGGTGTTATCAATGCCACTGAAAACAATGGAAATGATTTCCAGCCTCCAAGAAGTATTTCCAAAGAGATACCACTTCATGGTCTGACCATCCTTCTACCCCCTGTAGATTTTTTTCCCAACTGCCAATTTCATTCAAATTTCACCTGGGACATCCCAATGGACATATCTATTGACTCCCAGAATTATTTCCCCCAAATTATGGTTGGCAGTTTGTAATTATAATTCCCCCAGGGGCTGTATAGTAGTTGGTAGTTGCATTTCAGTTGTCAGTTGTCAGGCACTTGGTGTTTGTAGTCAGTAGTGGTTGCTTGTCACTTGCCAGTATCATCTCTTTCACCAGTCCAGATAAGCAACCAGTCACTTATTTTCTATACTCATACTTGCCAGTTCAGCCTTGGTCCCTTGCCATCTGTAGTCTGTCCATCTTGCTTACCAGTTAGCAGTTGGTAGTCAGTCATCACCAGTTAGTGCTTGTCCTTATCAGTCACTGGTCAGTCTTTCCTTTTTCTCATGTGAGCTTGCTAGTAGCAGTTGTGTTCCTGTTCTAGATAAATGACCAGTTGCTTGTTTTTCCTAGTCCCTGTCACTGTCATATGTACAAATCCCTGCTCTTCTATTCATGTCTGTGAATGCTCATGATACCACATGATCAGGTCAATCAAGTTGCTGTGATGTCCTTGCCTTGGTTGCCTCATCAACCACTTCACATACACTCCACCCTCCCCCCAGCTTTCCCCAAACCTTTTCTCTGCTTCCCTTTGTAACTCCTCATTCTGATAGATCCCATATGCTGCAGGTGCCACCACATCTGCAAACTTGCAGTCCTTGTTCTCCTTCTCTGCCTTCTTGAATTGTGGGTGCACCCTGTCATTTACCTGTGGCACATGGCACATGTAGCAGATCTTTTGGTGGTGCTGCATGTCATACTGCAGCCCTCTTCTCCACTCCCCATATTCACTCCATCCACACCCATCCAGATGTGGGCATTCTCTGATCCCATGTCACTCCATCCCATCTTTCCTCAACACTCTGCACAGACTGCAGCACCCCTCAAAGCTTTCTGATGCTGCCAGTATTTTGTCCCCCTCTTCCAATCATTTCATCTCTTCCTTCCCTCTAATACCAGTGGGCAGCTGTTCTGTCACCTCCAGTGATGCCATGGCTGGCTTCAAGGTCATGTCACTGTAGGTTGCCTGTCTGCCATGGATCTTTGCCAGATGGCTCTTGACTTCTCCCACTCCCAATGGCATTTCACAGACTTGGCATGTCAGGAAATGGAATTCTGCATTCACTGCAAGGTCCAGTGAATTCAGAAAACCATGAGAGATCAGTCCTGGAGATGTGGTCAATGGCAAGTGTGGCTGCAGGGTCCTTTGTCCTGAAGATGGCACAACATTGCCAGTGTTTTGTTTGTGGGCTTGGATTGCTGACTGAAGGAACTTGAGTCTGGTTGTGAGCAAGTTGACTCTGATAGACTCACCATGAGAGATGGCAATGGTGGTGCTGGTGCTGGTGCTGGTGCTGGTGCTTGAGGGGATTTTGGGGGAGGGACTGACTTGTGGGCTGTAGGTGACACCATCCTTACATTGCCCTGGAATGGTTACCCAGACCTTGGATAAGTGACCAGTCACTTATTTGTGGGAAAGCAATGACACTCACTGCTGGTGGAGGGGGTGAATGCATAATTTCATCTTGTGGAATCAACTGGTGAGTTTTGTGGGTAGGGGGAGAGCAGAAGGCTACTCAAGTTAGCCTAGACACAAAACTTGGACATGAAATGATGAAGTCTTTATTAGATACTAACCTAGACACAAAACTGTGTAGGTAGTGAGTACAGAAAAGTATACTGTAGTGGTGAAAAGACACTGTACCTCAGACTTGAAATGACAAAGTCTGAGGTGTAAGGTAAGATGAAGTGTAAGCTAAGTACCTAACATATTACCTAATCAACTCAGTGTAAACAGGATGGCACACTGTGCACCAACAGTGAGGGGATGGGATCTGACACAAATCCTTGGCTATCTGTTTCCCTGTTTAGCACTGTGGGGTGTGGATAGACAGATGCAACACATCTACTCACTGGGGATCCCCTGTGATGGAACTGGTGTGCCATGACCACACATCACTCCCTTGTCACCAATGGCCATAAGCTTGGTACTCACATCTCTGCTGTCACTCTCACTGATATCATCATGCTATAATGACATTGGGCAGAATAAGTGACCAGTCACTTATTCTGGCTTGGGCCAGTCACTTACCAAGTGCTTGCTGGTCCTGCTGGGACCACCTGCATTACTCTCCTCCTCATGGGTCTGGGATGGTGATGTCATGGGTGGCTGATCACTTTCTCCTCAGAATTGCACTCACCAAGTCCCTGCTGGATCCAGCTTCCATCCCTTGCTCATGGAGTTGCTTATTTTTCTGGTTGGTAAAGCCACTCACCAAGTCAAGTTTCCCCATGGATGGATCACCCTGAATTACATGCTCAGATTTATATCCAAATAAGGAAACAATTTCCCACCACTGCTCACCTGTATTTCTGGCCCTAGCCATCTACTGCCAGCCTTCTTGATGTGAGCTCTGAGACTGTTAGCAAACTTGAAGGGTTTGGGACAACCCATGACAGAACATTGACAGATGAAATTCCCCTTTCCATCCTTTACCACTTCAATTGTCTGGTTGGTATGAGCCAGGTGAATGGTAGCCTTGGAACAGCACTTCTTGCTGTGAGAGATATAAGGATTCTTGGTGGAAAAGGTTTCACCATAGGTTGTACAAGCATAGGTGAGCATGATGAGATGGTGGTGGTAAGGAGAAGAGATGCAAAGCAGAAAATTTCCCACAATCATCTCTATTAATTTGGCCTGCCTACCCTAAACATCCCAATTTGGATGTCCCCATTAGGCAATCCCTCTCAACATGTTGGTGTATTGTGATATTGGCACCCATCCCAAATTTTTGTCCCAACTCAGATAAGCAACTGGCTGCTTATTTGTGAGGGTACTGAGCAACTGTAACTTCCCTAGAGATCATGTAGAGTTGTCACCCCTACTGTTATATCACAAGACCTGGACACATGGGCATGCATGGCATTCAGGGTATGAAAGATAACCTGATGGAAATCCAGGATCTTGTAGCTGTGGGGTTGCCTTCAGTGGCTGTATGGGTTGCCTTCACCCACTATCTAGCTGCCTGCAGTGGTTGCACAAGGTGCCCTCTCAACCTGATAGTCATCTTCTGTCCAGATAAGCAACTGGTTGCTTAATTTTGCTAGTCATGTTCATCAGATCTGTGGTTGGTAGTCAGTAGTCACTACAATGTCTGCTTTTCTGCTAATCACTTGCTAGTCATCTTGTGTCCAGAATAAGCAACTGGTCACTTATTGTCTCTACTGACAGTGACTGTGTTGCTGTGTTGCTTGTCTTTGCCTGCTATGTGGTTGCCTTCATTCAGTGGCTGTGCAGGTTGCCTTCAATGGCTGTGTAGGTTGCCTTCAGGCAACCTTCCTTATTTGGAGGTTGCCCTCAGTGGCTGTGTAGGTTGACTTCACCTGCTATGTGGTCACCTTCAGTGGCTGTGAGGTTGCCCTCAGTGGCTGTACAGTTGCCCTCAGGCAACCTTCCTTATTTGGAGGTTGCCTTCAGTGGCTGTGTAGGTTGCCTTCAGTGGCTATGAGGTTGCCCTCAGTGGCTGTGTAGGTTGCCTTCAGGCAACCTTCCATATAAGGCAAGTTGCCCTCAGAGTCTGGGGCAGGGTCCAGAAAGCATGTTATTAGGTTATGAGCCCTGCTCTCACAGTCCAATTCTGAAAGAGTTATTACACAGCAAGAATACCCACTATGGCAAAAGACAATCATTCCTTACAAGTCCCAACCCTAAATGCAGATGGAAGCAACTGGCTATATTACAAGGCTCAGGTTGAATGGGCTGTCAGTTCAAAAGGGCTGATTAGACACCTGACTGGCTTGGATGCAAAACCAGAGGACCCTTCAGCAGGGAAAGACACCTCCTGGAAGCCCACAGCCACAGAGCAAAAACTTGTTAATGAATACCCAGAAAAACTCTGGCAATGGGCTAAGGACAACAGATATGTCAAGCAAGTGATTGCTGTGTCACTCCTGGAATCATTGTTCCTTCAAGTTCTGAAGGAAGAGACTGCAAAGAGTGTGTGGGGTGTCCTCACTGACCTTTTCCAAAACTGCTCTCACATCATCACAATCAATCTTTGGAGAAAACTCCAAGAGTCCTGCTGTGCAGAAAAAGGCAATGTCTGTGCTCACTTCAACAAGATGCATGCACTGCATGAACAACTTGCTGCACTTGGACAGCCAATCACAGATGATGACTTTGCAGCCATCATCCTCAGTTCACTTCCTGCTTCTTATGACTCCAACCTCACAGCTATGACATCTTCAGCCCTGGTCATGCAAAAGGACCTATCTCCAGACTTCATCATCAAAGTAATTTCCAATGAATATGATAGGCACCAAACATGGACTAAGAGAGGCAATTCTGGAAACTCCAGAAATTCCAAAGATGCAGCCTATTCAGTGAAGGACAGAAAGAAGTCTACCTGTGAAAATTGCAGAAAGAAAGGTCATGTGTGAGACCAATGCTGGGAAGAGGGTGGCAGAAAAGCTGGGCAAGCACCCAAGTGGTTCCAGAACAAAGGAAAAGGGAAAAAGAAGGAGAAAGGCACCAGAAAAGCAGCCACTGCAGCCAGTGCATCAGCCAGCTTGAGTGTGCAGACCAGTGCTGACTCGTAACCTGACAGAGTTTGGCTAGCACACCTGCAGGATGACAACTGGGTAATGGAAATTGCAGAGGAAGAAATTCTGAACCCCCAGGATATCATCATTGACAAAGAAGATGCATATATGAACACCTTCAACCATGCTCTGCTCACAGGTGAAAGCCTAAATTCCACAGAAGAGACCATCCTGTTTGACTCTGGCACTTCATGTCATATGTCCTCCTACTGCAGCAAATTCCTCAATTACAAGCCAATCATACCCAAACCTATCACTGTGGCTGACAATCACACCTTCCATGCCATCAGAAAAGGTGATCTTGCAACCTTGCTCCCAAATGGCACTACCCAGACCTACATTTGACTCAAGGACATGCTCTATGCTCCCAAGATGGGAATTACACTTGTTTCTGTCAGCAAACTTGATGTCACTGGGTATGTGGCATTATTCTGTGACAAGTGTTGTCAAATTTTTGACACTCGGAAAAAGAAAGTAGCTGAAATTCCAATGCAAAAAGGGCTCTACTGCCTCAAATGAGCTTGTCATGCCTTCACAGGCCTAGCCAAGGCCACAGAATCCCTAACCATGGAGGAGATACACATCAGGCTTGGCCATATCACTCCTGAAGCCATCTGGCACATGCTCAAGGATGGCATGATCAGTGGAATTAAACTGGACAAAGCACATTCCACCATGGGCACATGCAACTCATGTGAATATGCCAAAGTGACTCAGAAGCCCATTGGGAAGGAGTGCAACCCACCCTGCCATGAACATCTAGGCAATGAGGTCCACACAGATCTCTGGGGACCTTCTCCAGTCCAAACCCCTAGCCACAGTCAGTACTATGTGTCATTCACAGACAACCACACCTGCTACACCAAGCTGTACCTCCAGAAGACAAAAGCTGAGACCTTCACATCATACAAGGCCTACAAAGCATGGCTGAACACACAGTTCAATACTAAAATCAAGTGACTTCACTCAGATTGTGGGGGCAGAGTATCTTAGTGCAGAATTTTCAGAATATCTGAAATCCCGAGGCACAGAACAACACATAATCATCCATGATACCCCCAAACACAATGGAGTTGCAGAACAACTCAACAGGACACTTGTTGAGTGCATACATGCGATGATTCACACCAGCAGCCTACCCAAGAATCTCTGGGGGGAGGCCATCATGCATGCAACCTGGCTCAAAAACTGCTCATCAACTCACCATCTAGGCACAAAAACTCCCTATGAAATGCTCTACCTAAAGACCACCTGACCTCTCAGAAATTCCAGTCTGGGGATGTCATGTCAAGGTCCATGACACCTCTGGCTCCAAACTAGACATGTGAGCCCAAGACAGACACTGGGTAGGATTTGATCCTGAGAGCAATGGCCACCACATCTACTGGCCAGACACACAAGCAATTGGCATAGAACATAGTGTCATTTTTGAGTGCCAAGATGTGTCCATACCACATGGTGTGCTGCTCAAGGGGGAGCAGGGGAATTCCAATGCCTCAAAACAAAATTCCACAGCTTCACAAGGAACTTCTGAGGCCATGCAGACAGTTCAAGTGACCCACTGAAGCAACTTTGGAAATTCCAAAACTCATTCCAGACCCACTTGGAGAAAATTTCAAAACACCTCCACCTCAACTTCATTGTTCTACTTGCCAGTGCTTTGAATCAGACTATATGAGGCACCTACATGCAGGGGAAGGCACTTGTGATGGGCACATCCCTCTTGACTTTGTAAAGGAGCTCTGAGAGAGGCACAGCAATCCTAACAACCCTAAATTCCTAAGAGAACACCACCTACTGTACTTGATGAAGAACTAACTACTGATGAAGATGACACTAACATCATGTATGCTATGGTGGCAGGGATGGCTGAAGCCGAAAGGGCTGGATCTGTCAACAGTACAGAGGCAAAATTCTGAGCTGACTGGCCAAAGTGGCAAAATGCCATAAATGCAGAATTCAAGAGCCTAGAGGAAGCACATACCTGGGATGTCATTGAGTGCCCCAAGGGTGCAAATGGGTCTTCAAGATCAAATGCAATGCCACTGGAGAGATTGAGAAGTACAAGGCCTGCCTAGTCACTAAGGGCTACTCTCAGATCCAGGGTGTTGACTACAATGAAACATATGCTCCTGTTGCAAGACTTGCATTTCTCCACACCACACTAGCAATTGCCACATGCAATGACTGGGATATCAATGTACTTGATTTCCACTCAGCATTCCTCAATGGCAAACTCAGAGATGGCAAAGACATCTACATGGAGCTCCCTGAGGGCTATGCTGCAGGGCGGAATTTTTCCCATCCAGTTGGGAAGCTAAACATAGCATTATACAGCTCAAAACAAGGCACACTTTGGTGGTACCAGAAGCTGTGTGCAACTCTCACAGACCTTGGGCTTACCAGGGCACACACAGACTGGGGAGTATTCTATGGTTGCATAGGATTGGAAATCCTCATCCTCACCAGCCACATTGATGACTGCACTGTAACAGGCAGTTCCCCATTGTTAATTCACTTGTTCAAACAGGAGATAAGCACTTGTTTCAAAATCTCTGACCTGGGGCCCATCAGTTGGCTACTTGGAATGAAGGTGATGCAGAATAGAGAAGCCTGCACCATACCCCTGTCACAGCAGTCATACATCAAGGCTATCCTAATGAAATACAACCTCACCGACTGCAAGCCAGCTGCAATTCTGATGGACCCCAGCATAAAACTCTCCCATGGAGAAATTCTGCAGCCAGCTGAAGAAGCTGCACACATGAAAAATGTACCCTACTGTGCCACTGTTGGCTCCCTCATGCACCTTGCCATTGGAACACACCCTGACATTGCATTTGCTGTCTCCACAGTCATGCAGTTCAACAACACACCCAACATGACTCACTGGGAGGCCATGAAACAAATCTACAGGTATATCTCAGGCACAAAAGTGCTTTCTTTGACATTCAGAAATTCAGAACAAGGCCTTGAGGGCTATACCGATGCAGATGGAGCTTTGCAGGAGCATTGACAGGCTATAAGTGGATACACCTATCTACTGGATGGAGGAGCTATCAGTTGGGCTTTGCAGAAACAAGAACTCATAACACTCTCCACTGCTGAAGCAGAGTATGTTGCAGCAACTCATGCAGCCAAAGAGGACCTGTGGCTTCAATGACTCATTGGGGAAGTTTTCTGACCACTCAAACACCCTATCCCACTGTATTCCAACAGTCAATCCACCATCACACTTACCAAAGATGGCAGCTATCATGCTCACACCAAGCACATCAATATATGATACCATTTCATTCATTTTGCTGTGGAAAATCATTCCTTTCATTTAATTTATTGTCTTACTGATGACATGGTCACCAATACCCTTACCAAACCTCTACCTAGCATCAAGGTGAAACACTTCACATCTGCACTCAGACTTCATTCTGATTGAGGGGGAGTGTCAAGAATGTGATCAGGAATTACGGTAGCATCCCAAAGTTTTGCCCAGAGGGCTTGGAGTTTCTCCCTGACCCTCAGAATTAAATTCCGATGTCAACACACTTACTAATTACTGTACTATAAATTTTCTGCACCATTGTTTTCCACCTCAGTGACTACTTCATACACTGAGGTGAGTATAGCTAGATTCCCACTCATTTACTTGGTACTGACATAGTGTAGAAACTCATACCTTCATTGCAGAGAGCTTGCAGCTCAACCAGGGACAGCAAGTAGATGGTGCCTAATGGCAGGGTTGTTCCTTCTTCAAGCTCTATTTTCAGGTTGTACTCCCAGTGTGGTGGGAGTGCCAAGGCCTTGGCCTTGCTAAATACATCAGCAAAGTCATGATACTCCTCTGGGACCTTGGGTAAGGCCAGAGGAGGGGAGGCCAAGGCCAATCAGGCTTGAGCTGAGTCCAAGGGATGGAGCTGAAGTTGGAACTGGATAGACCCTTCAAGTTTGCAGGTGCACATGAAGGCAGCTGCATTGATTAGGGAGACAAGAGGGGCCTTCAGGGGGGTGCAAACTGGGGAGTCAGAGACTGGTACAGATGGCATGAGGCCAGGCTGGTCACTAGGACTGGAGTCAGGGAGGCTGGTGGAGACCAGGCTTACAGGGGGTGTTGATTGGGTTGGCATTCCTTGTGCAGGAGTCTGGAATGTTAGACTGCTCAGTACCCAATCAATTGACAGATTGTAGTGGGTGAGCCAGTCATGTCCAAGGACTATCTTACACTCAGAATCCAACAGGGCTAAGAACAGGGTTACCAGGGTGACATTGCTGGATGTGAAGCAGATATTGACATCTACTACTTGGGTTATGGCAATGGTGGACCTTCCATTGAAAAGCTGGAGTCAGATTATCATCACCAGGACTGTTATTATCATCATTGCCAGGGTCATCCTTGGGGATGGGAGCAGTGGGACAACATGGGGTAGGAGTATTGGATGTTCAGGCTGAAAAACCCCTGAAAGGACTAATGGGGTCTGGAGAGTGCCTAGTGGTGCCCAAGGCAGCTAGTGCTGTCTTGTGGTGAGTTCCACTGGCTGAGGTGGAGTTGGGGTTGGTGGCAGAGTGGCCATGGGGAGGTTGGAAATGAGTCTTTGTTGCCATGATGTTTTAGACCCACACAAGTAGTGAGTCTGAAATACTGTCAAGTTTGTGATGTCTGGGTTGAGGCCAGACCAGAGACCAAAGTGGGCACAAGGCCAAGGGGTTGAGACCAGGAGGAAAGACAAAGATACAAAGGGGTGGACTGATTGGACTTAGCAACTGAGGATGCAGCACTATTCCCTTGCATGGGTCTCAGTCCAAGTCCAAGGCTGAGATGGGGTTATCAGAGTGAACTTAGTTGATTTCAGACTGGAGAGTACAAGTCAAGTAACTATGGGTTTATATACCAGAGACAGACTATAGTATGGAGACTGGTAATGCTGGTCTCACAAGGATTGCTAAGACAATTGGTAAGGAGAGTATTAGTAAGGTATGACTAAGGTAACAGAGACTGGGACAGGGCAGACTGGGGACAAGACTGGGCAGAGTTCAACTGAAGTGACATGCACTGCAAAGCAGTGTTCACTGTGCTAGGACATCTGGGGATAAGGGATTGGTGAGGCTGAGGCCAGACTGAATGAGTGCAAGACCAAGTCCAGCTGGGGTCAAGACACAACTATGACAACCACATAGATAGTGAAGCTGGTCTTGTATGTCTCTGAAAAATTCATTAGATGAGTGCCCATGACTTCTGAGGTGTTTTAATATACCATGAGTATGCAAAATTGGGGGGATGGCCCCCAGTAACCTCCAAAGCTATGATGAAACATGCTACTGGCCTCAAGAAAGGAGGTGGAATGTCCCACAGTAGCCTCCAAAGCTATCAAGGGGCATCCCACTGTCCTGGGCATGGGGCCCCATGCCAATCAGATCATATAGCATCCTATGCCAGTGGAGCACTCAAATGTTCATCCCCCACAATAGCATCATTTTGATACTATGCATGTATGTATGTACCTCAACTGTGCTTTGAAAATGAAAGTAGTGATCTTAGTAAGGAGTGACTGTTGTCACAAACACAAGAACTTACAGTACTATTGGGGGGATTCTGAATCCATTAACCTTTAGTAATTGACAGGTTCACCTTCATTCACATTGTACAATTCTACAGATGGCATCACACAAACACACTCATTGCCTGGTAGTCTTCAAATATCACCTAATATGTATAGTAAGTGTTTTTTGGGAGGGTAATGTTTTCGTCCATCCCCCCAGTTTGATGGGTATGCTCATTGTCTGGATGATGATCATAACAGCAATGTGTTTGTGAATGAAGGCTGGCATTCCAATGTGGGTGCAAGTTGCACATTTGCAGTTGAGGACCCCTGACACCTAAGGCAGCCATGGGACAGCCCAAAATATATTACCAAAGCACTGGGATTATGGGACATCTCAGGTCCTGCACACTGCAAATAGCCCTGGGACATGGCCAGATGTCCCTGGGATGACCTGGTCTGAGTGGCTTTTAGCTTGGATGATTTGTAGAAAAACTTCAGCCTAATGCTTATGAAAATTGGTTACCTGAAGTGCATGCAATGTCCTGCTGATGGCAATGTCCACCAATTCTCACATAGTTCAGTCACCAATGGTCCTGAAGGTGGGTCATCTGACATGTACATTTTGGCCTAATAGAGGGACTCAAAATAAACTGCACATCAATGTCATGTTGGGAATTACAAGTACACTATGCTTCCAATCTCTATCCTCCCCCCATCCCCTCTGCTCCTCTCTTTGGCATATCCTTATACCACTCTGGCACCTCGTGTGCCTTCGGAACAGCTCGCCGTCTCATCTCTTTCACCTCTCTCTGCAGCGCTTCCTCGACCTGTTTCTGAGCTTCCTCTCTCGCCCGCGCCATCTCCTCTTGTTTTTCACGAATCAGGGCGTCAAATTTCGCACGTTCAGTAGCGCGCAGGGTGGTTGTGAATGTGAAGGGATGTGGCACGGTGGTGGTTGTCGATGACATTGATGTCGTGGATGAAGCCGTAGAGGTCGCAGTGTTGGTAGAGATCATCGTCATTGTCGCAGGTTTCGGGGGAACGCTACTCGACGGTGCAGGACGGCGCAACCGCGATTCTCCGTGATCCGACTCGAATAACATCTGTTTCTTGAGTCCGTCATCCCCTCTCTTCTTACTCTTGTCCTTTTCACCGTCAATACCGCCGTTCAGACCAGGCCCGCAAACGCACGGGTCGGTCACGACTCTGCGCACCCGTGCATCGACGCGGAACGTGAATGGTACGGGCTTGGTCAGGTGCCCTCCCGCCGCAGCTAGTCTTGCGCCACCCGTCCTCGTCTCTGTCCCGGAATTTGTCTTGGAATCGGTTGCATCCGTGGTCCACATGTCGACCCAAGGTTCCTTTTCGCGCTCCTTGGGAAGCACGGACGGTCCAGGCCTCGAAGGTAGTGGTACCTCTATGACCGGCTTCGTGTGTCTCCGACCAAGTGAAGCAGATACAGATCTCGACGATGGGCGCACCCCAATTCTTCCACCGGCAGCACTAGTTCCACTTCTCCTGCTACTGAACCCAGAACCGCTCGGCGCGATGGGACGCTCACTTTTTGCGATCCCAAGCCGTCTATGCGCTTCGCGCAATTGGGTGAGATGAGGGGCTCCGATTGTCTTACCTCCACCTGCTCCAGCCTTCGCCGTCGTTGTCATCTTTAAGCTTGACGTCGCGGTGCTTGAGATACATGCAGTAGCAGATCTAGGAACGTACTTTGTGCGCTTTGCAGGGAGAGTTTTCGCCGAGGTAGACTCTGATACTCTGACTTTCTTCTGCGGGTGAACCTTTTTGCTCCTTTTAGTTTCGTGCTCGGCCATGCATGTAGGCCCGTCTTCACCACCAGTACCACCCTTCTCGGCACTCAACTGGACATCCATGCGCAAATTCGTCTGTCCATCCTCGCCGTCTTCTTCCCTATTCCCCTCGTTTGCAGCCTCCTGATTCCCATCGGTACTCCGCTTCGTACCACGCCGCATAGGTGAAAATACGGTTTGGACGCGCTCTTGTTCGAGGGACCGTGTTGGTATTGAGTCCGAGTTCACATCTGTGCTATTAGGTGACTTGGAAGTGGTTGATTCCGAGTCTGAATCTGCGATGGACATCGTGATGTCAGCCACTTCAAGTTCCTCCTGTTCGTCATCCTCCATGTTGTCGGACGGGCCTTTAGGAAGCTGTTGCGGTGGGAAAGACGGCGAAGATGTATCGGGATAAGGTTGAGTGGGTATATGCGTAGGTGCCGGTATGGGAGGGACATCTGCCCCGTGTAGTCCTGCCGTAGCCAGGTTGGTGGCTTCTGGAGTTGGAGTATTGACTCTATGTACGGGTAGGTTCTCATCGACAGGTCCTGCCGTAGGAAGGCTGACAACTTCGGGAGCTGGGGCGTTCCTTCTTTGTGTCGACGGGGGTTCATCGGAAGTAGTGGGGAAAGCGATTTTTAGGGAAGCAAAAGACAAAGCACGAATATGCAACATACCTGGGGAGCCGCGCACGACTTCCGTCACCACTCTGGCTCTCATAATCCTTGTCTGCAATGCGTGGAATCTGGGACTGAGTCTGGCGCGTCGAAGGTGGTTTGGTTGATTGGATCTGAGCATCGAGTTTAGAGTGCACTGGGTGCGTATATGCGCAGGGAACGTCGGTGGCCTCGATGGCGGACCGCCCGCTCTTGTTAGCACGTACACGTCGTAGTATGTCGTGCGAGAGCACGTTCTCAGTGTTGCGGTCAGGTTGATGTTCTGCAAACTGGCGCGTCGTCTTATGAACCGCACGCGTATTCTTCGATGGCGAGTTCGTGGAGATTGTGGATGGGGGTCGTAGGAGGGACGACCTGTTGGTCTTGGCCTTGAATATGCCACGGGTGCTGGGCTGTAGAGTAGCCGGTCAGTGTACGATCGCGTCGTAGAAGGGATCCCCACCCGTGGACTGGGTTGCTCTGATGCAAAGCTGGCGACGAGACCCTGCTCGTAGTCGCGCCGGAGCAGGTCAAAGTCGGAGTCGTCTGCGAGCAAGTTGTCCTCGGAGGACGCTCTGGAGAGATCTGGGATCTGCGACAGCGTCAGGTCGGTCAGCATCGGCGGGGAGTGCGTGCCCGTCCTCGGAGTGGTCATGAGGGAGACGCGGTGCTTGCCCTAAACTACGCCCCTCACCGCTTCTTCCGCGGGGTTGAGTGTGTTTGTCTGTCCTCCACCCACCCCCCGTTCGCAGCTGAGGCATTCGCTTGCCTTCTCTGATATTACTCGATGATGTCCTCTCAGATCGCTTGTAAGCTGTCTCTCCCTCCTGCCAGTCCCTGCATTGATGGTTCATCCCCCTGCCAGTCCGCGCCCAAAAGCGTCTCGGCCTCGTCCACGGCTCTCCCGCCTACTCCCCCGTCCACGGATTCTCGGATCCAGGCGTGCCAGCTCGCACCTGCCAGTACAGCAACGACGGCAGACTCTTCGCATACGCCCTCCCATCTTCGTACGTCCTGCTCGCGTCATCACCCGCCCACCCACTCATACGTCCACAGCGTCAGGATCTTCCAGGCCGAAAACGCTATCCTCTTGCAGGAGCTGAACATTCCCAATGTCGTCGAACTCAACTTCTCGCCTCGTGGCACTTACCTCTCTACCTGGGAACGTCCTGGTATGTCCTCGTGTCGTGCACGTGCTTTTTCCTCCTGCTGATCATCTCGCAGTGAAGCTCGAAGACGGCGCCCAACACAAAAACCTTCGTGTCTTCTCCGTCAGCACAGGCGAAGAGCTCATCGCCTTCTCACAAAAATCTCAGGAAAACTGGGACATTCAGTACACCGTATTCGAGTCACACGCAGTCCGCCTCGTTGCTCAGGAAATACAGGTGTTCAGACCTGCTGAATGGAGCAAGGGCATCATCGATAAGCTCAGGGTCGAAAACGCTGCCATGTTGTCCGTCAGTCCCGGCCTCAACCCCTCTATCGCCGTATTCGTCGCAGAGAAAAAGGTCCGTTGACATCTCTTCCCCTCTCGCTATTACACACTCCCTTCTTCTGTAGGGCGCACCCGCCAGCGTCAAAATATATGGCCTCCTCGCACTCAGCCCAACACCCACCAGCTCCAAAACCTTCTTCAAAGCAGATCGCACCCAAATCAAATGGAACGATCTAGGCACCCAAGCGCTGATCATCACTCAAACGGAAGTCGACAATTCCAACATGAGCTATTACGGAGAGACTTCGCTCTACCTTCTCAGTGCCGCCGGTAACTTTGATTGTCGGGTCACGCTGGACAAGGACGGCCCCATTCATGACGTCGCATGGAGTCCAAACAGCAAAGAGTTTGGTGTGGTATACGGATGTGCGTTTCTTCATTTCTCCCTCGCCTCACCTCACTAACCCGTACGTCCAGACATGCCCGCCAAAGCCATGCTCTTCGACTCCCGCGTCCGCACACTCTACGACTTCGGCAGTTCCCCCATCAACACCATCTCCTTCAACCCCCAGGGCCGTCTCATTCTACTCGCTGGATTCGGCAACCTCGCCGGAAAAACCGACATCATCGACCGTCGTTCCCTCACCAAAATCTGCACCATCGACGCTCCGAATACATCCTACTGCTCATGGTCTCCCTGCGGTCGATTCCTTCTCACAGCCGTCTTATCCCCCCGGTTACGCGTCGACAATGGAATCAAGGTCTGGCACTGTTCAGGTCCACTCGTACATGTCCAACCCATCGACGAACTGTACCAAGCCGGATGGAGACCGACACCCGTAGATCAGGTTCCGGCGTTCCCCCAAACCATTCCACAAGCGCCGCCACCGTCCGAGAGCGTGTCGAACGTAGGGACCAATGGGAAACCGGCGAGTGCGAAACCGGCCGGTGCATATAGACCTCCTGGAGCCCGCGGACTGGCGACACCGGCAATATTCAAGAGAGAGGACGAGGGCGGGACACCGGTGCGTGGGGGTACCGGCAATGGGAATGGCACAAATGGGACACCAACGAGAGGGTATGGTCGGGGTGCTGGCACACCCCAGGGAGCAAACGGAGTGAATGGGGGAAGGAGACATGTCCCGGGCGCGCCTCCGAGGACGCCGTCTACCGGCGACAATGGTGCCCCCTCTGGCGGTGCTGGTCCTGGCGCGGGTTCGAATACTGCCGGAGGTGCCGCAGAAACTGCCGGAGAAAAGAAACGCAAGAAAAAGGACGCAAAGAAGGGGAAAACTACTGCTAGTGGTGGCGGTGGGGACGTCTCATCCGGTGCTGCTACGCCCACCGGCGGCGGGGACACAACAATATCTGCCAGACTTTCGATCGACGTTGCGAACGGCTTGAATGGGGCGGCGCCCTGTCCGACTGCCCAGCTGACTACCCCCAAAGAGAATGCAGATTCGATGGATATGGCGTCGAAGAAAATAAGAAATCTGAATAAGAAGGTGCGTTTACCAATCTCCCTCACTAGTTCTTTCCTTCTCAACTTCGGAACATAGCTCAAAGCCATCGACGAACTCAAAGAAAAGGCTAAGCGGGGAGACCATCTCGAAGCGACGCAGTTGAAAAAGATCGAGGGGGAGGCGGATATCAGAAAGGAACTTGCTGCGCTCATGCTCCTTACTGGCGGCGGTGGGGGTGCTGCTGCTTGATCGCACTTACACATTCCTTCATCATTCACCTCTATTCCTCATTCGGGCTCGTTTCGTTGTACGGTCATGTCATCTGTCGCTACCGGATGCGATAATGACAACGAGTGCATAGGCAAACTACCCACATCTCTGATTTACATGACTTTTTTTGGGTTGGATGGTATGTACGTAGATGGTGTACAGTGAAATGAGGTTGGGGGCGACAGAAACGATACTCCGAACACACAATTCCATCGTCATCTACACTTCCCGACAACAGTGGTGAGTTCGAGAATGGAAAGTTTACAGGACACATCCCAGCTTGTTCCTGCCTACCTTGAAGTTTTTGTCCACGGAACAACAGTAGGACTTGGCGAGTCCTCCTGCCACCCCAAGTTTGATCAGCACCACAACCCCTCGGCCTTCGAGGCTCTCCAACACGACCATGACGATGTAATCATGAAACGAGAAACATAGATTCGGGGCTAGTGTTGACTGCCATTATGTTCCGGTGCGTCTATCACTTGTGTCGTTCGAAATCTGGGGTAGCATGCATAATTTCACCCCATCTACGTCTCGCGGTTCCCATAATCTCAGTATGTACCCTCGCCGTGTGCTTGTTCGAAGTTCCATCACGGATCCGTCAGAGAAGATCTTCCTTGAAGAAGCACTGCGCTGCGCTTACGCTGCTCCTCTCACGAGTCACAAGGACGTGCAGCAATGCTCCGGCTATTCTTGGCTGCGAGGTCGATGCGAGGTATGTTATTGCTACTTAATCATGCGAGTCCCTATTTCTCGGAAAGACGCATCCTCAGGAGTAACCACTTTTCCGTGCTTGTGCTGCAGCCCTGCGACTACGCCGGGTAGGACCCGTCAGCGGGGAGGGGGCCTACCGACGGATTTTTAGATATGTATCACGACACTACTTGCACGCCATGGAACGAGCAACGGCTTTTGATTGTACTGACCAAGCGGAACCAGGGGTCACAGCGTGTTGGAATGCATATTGTATATTCTATTCCAGCAAATCCCCGGGACACGTACTCCTTGTACGCATATCCTTCGGACATAGCCAGCAGAGTTTTAAATGTGGCTCTGTGGTGACTTCCCCAACATCGACATCAATGGTATGAGGCTTTCCGGCAGTTTATAGCGGATGTCTTCAACCTCCGTTATGACTTCCTCCGTTCATTTGTATCTCTCAGTCCGTTGCATATCACATATCAATCAAGCTCCCTTGAATCTTAACTCGAACATGAGATCAGCAATTCAGTCTACGGATGCCGGAAAAAAATACACTTTCACTACGAAAAGAGTCATTACTGAGGATGAAGAAGTATATGCAACTCGAAACCCTTGCTTATATCTTACTCCTAGCCGAGTCATAACAGTGACAACACCACAAGTACCTGGTTTTGACCATCCCCGGAGAATCATAGACACTGGATGTGCCTCGGGTATCCTGTTCATGAAGAGATGAGTCCCAAGATCCCACAGCCACATGAATACGTACCATCAATGAATCCATGTTCAGAGTGGCCTTCAGTGGAATTCCTTTCAGCTTCAATTTACAATGACTATGCAGTTGTTCATACAGGGAACCCGGCCAAAAACCGCCAGCATCTGGGCTGTCTGTCGTTTTAAATTCACTGAATGTAACTTGTAGTAGATGCCTGTGATTGGACTCTCGTGCGACGAGCCACCGCACAAATTCACGAGGGACTGTCCCAGTTGTAAGACCTCTAAAAGTCAAACGCTTAAGGTCTTGCCAGAGGCCCGCAGGAGCACTGTCTTTGACAAAGAATACATCCATCACATTGGCAGGCAGCTCCGCACGGCGTACCCCGGGGCACGCGGCGCATACTGCCTGCGCGCCTAGTGCCGTGATATTGGTCGAATCAGAAAGGCAAAGACGCTGAACAGTTGCGAACTTCTTGGGGAAATCTCGGAAGGCATGTGCCCAGGGACACCCACACCTGCGCATGGTTTGTGTACTGATCTTGGATTCTGAACATGCTAGAGAAAGAAGACCGGGAGTAACCAAAGCTCCCAACGCTGGCCATGGGTCAGAGAGAGTGAGTGTTAGAGACGTAAGGACAGGTAAGCAAATGCTCTCGGCATCCGGCCATTCGTCGCTAGTTCCAGAAAGGCCAAGCTCGGACAATTGCTGGATTGGGAGCAACGAGCTCAACAGCAGTGACCCCGACATTCCTTTCTCGTCGTCCAGGTATAAATAGACAGATCGGAGACTGGTAACATTTGGAATTCGGTCAATAAAGCTTCCTTTTAAGAGTTTCATCTGCTCGAGAGCAGGAGCATAATGGAAAGTAAGAAAGAGCGGACAGCTGGAGAACTGTGTTCCCGAGATCTCAACACGTTTCAGGGCAGGGAACATCATGTACCGGATGTTTTCAAAGAGAAGGGTCGCATTATTCTCTCGAATAACAAGACTGCGCCATCGATATCCGCAAGTGACAGTAGCACCTAGGAGTTGTTTGAGTCATGAAGATTGGTTCATAGAGTTCCACTTGGTTATGATGATATCTAGAGGGCACTCTCCACTTCTTTTGACGTGTGCTATGACGAGGGGAGCAGACCATGAAGGACCAATCACGATGGTAGTCCAGAGTTTGGGGCAGTTAAGGATAGAATCTCTCCAGCAACGCGATACGCTAGCCAGCTCCCTCTTAGTGCAATGATGCGCGTCCGACACGGGGTGGGTGTTACAGATCGTACGATGAATGATATCCGAGAGCACTGAGAGTGGAAGACGGGTAATTGGTGCTGGGAGTCTGCGCTTGACGAAACCGTTAATCCTGTCCATCTGCGCCTGGGCAGCAGAATGGACACTGCGGAGCTCTTCCAGTAACTCCCGCTCGCGGTTCTGCAGCCGCATCAGTTCAGCTCGCGCTGCAACAAGATCGCTCGTAGAGACGGAGACGTCGAGGCTGTATAACAAGTGTACTTCTCAGCACCCCACGCTGGGCTATTCCGTGCTAGAAAAATCACCTGCAATTTGTCTTTACCATGATGGCCGATGAGTATCTGAATACAATGGTCGCCTGATGTACCATCTATTGCGTAATACTGGAGCATGTTTTGTGCAGACTCAAGAGGTGTGCATTCGGAGAATTCCGAACACCAACCCCACTTCAGGCATCCTACCAACTGGTGTCTGGGGTCTTGTTTTTATTCCCTTTTGGGCGAAATCGAGGCTACCGCAGCGATTTCACTCGACTTCGTCCTAGCACATTCAATTTAGCATTTATCTGCTCTGCGCCTCGGTAAAGGGACCAAATATACTATATACTCTATCATTCTATACACTTAGTTTCTTTTCAATTGCAGTTATTATTGAGATTTGAGGAATTCAATGATCTGTATGATATGTCCAAATAGGGATTCGAAGTTTCAACCCAGTTGACACTGGAGTTTCAGTTGTTGCTGTTACCATTACTGATTTGACCCATTTATGTGATGGCCCAGCAGCTGTCTCTCCACTTCCAGTGTTCTTGGGCTGAGTTATGGTTCAGTGCCCTTGTTCTTCATGTTGTGGTCAGCTTGTACTCACCTTCCTACCCACTCTGAGCAACTGGCTGCATTTCTGCTTGGCCTGTCTACATTGCTCACATGACTCCCCAGGAAGACCTTCACACTTGGCATTGACCTTCACACACTCCCTGCATGGCAGGTTGGCTTCAGGTGCCAGAGCACCAGTTTTTGACAGGTCAGGGTTGGGCAGGCAGTTGCCTTCATCATTCTCCAGCTCAGCAACTTTGTCTGTGGCCTGTGGAGTTTTTCTGAATGTCAGCCATCATGCTTGGAGTTTCCTGGAGGGTAGGACATACCTTTTCCTTGCCCTTCCCCTTGCCTGTGCTATCTGTCCATTGCCTCACTGGTCATCCAGTCCCCCTTGAAGACTCCCCTGCTTCAGTGTTGCTGGGCACACAGCCTCGACCTTCACCTATCACCATTGCTGCCTGTCTGTGTGTGCACTGTCACACACTAAAGGTGTTTGGTGAGGTGGACATGGATACAACTGATGAATGGCAATGAAGACCATAGCCCTCATGCAAAGAAGGACAGCCAGGAATGTCGGCAGTCATCCCTCACACAAGAACAAGTCATCAGTGCCAGAGAAAAAGAAAGGGAGTGAGTTAAGCACTGGCTAAAATTCTTAAGCGCCCATGTACAGCATTCCAGTTTTCAACATATCTCTGCCATTTCTGCAGATACCAAGACCATTCCCACACTCACCTGTAGTGCTCAGCCACATGATCTTACCTTCCAAAATGGAAAGGATTTGTGCACTCCACATGTTTCTACAGCACTCCCTCCAAAAGACACTCATTTCACTAAATTCTTCTGATATGGCTGCCTCTACATCAATCATTTCACTTGTCCCCTTTGCTAGGGACCATGACTACATATATCTACCAGGAGCTCCTACCAGCTTCCATCCTGAAGCATCCTGGTACATCCCACCCTCATCTGTGCCCTCTCAGCCCATCCAGCTTGGACAGCATGTTCTTTTGTCAGTATGACCTCTAGGAGGATGTTCTTTGGTTGCCTCAGGTCTGTCATTCACTTGGAAAGGTCTTATGTGGTCATTTCAGTCTCTCCAGTCCAAGAAGCATATGGATCCTCCCTCCCTGCTCCCTGCAATGTCTTCATACCAGTCTCATCTGTCATTCTTCCAAGATTGTGACAGCTACAGTATAATCTACTGTTCTCCACTCTCCCTGATCACATCCATGATGAGTATGATGCACATCTTGCCTCCTTGTTGCAAGATACAGCAGAAGACACTCCCCCTTCATCCTCTCTTCCAACAGAGCCTCATTCATGAAGTTTTTATTTGCTTCACTGAGAGGATGGTTTGGGGGGGAAAGTTGCAATCCCCTATGCTCCTGTCACCCCACAGACCCCCAAAGCTTGACCCCTGTTGACATCTGACTCACCCTGTCCACTTTTGGATGTACTATATCAGCATCAGATCAGTGCTGCCTCTCTGTCATCCCACCTTGGCCTAGAAGCAATCTCTTTGAGATGTGACATGCACAGCCTCCCCCTAATGTGATTCCAGTGTGCTTTCCCAGTTCCTGACATTACTTGACTCATACTTTGATGTTCTGACTGTCTTTGACTCACCTATTGCCAATACTTACCAATCTTTTGACTTTGCTTACAGATTCTTTGCTTTTTGGCTTGCTAATCCTTACCAATGCTTACCAATGCTTTCCAAGATGATTACCCATTGCTTACATTCCTTACTCATCAGTTACCAATCACTTACCAAGTGTTTGCACCCTGTACTGTATATAAATCACTGTACTTAGATAGCAAAAAAAAAGACATCAGAGAGCCCCTCTTGCTTGAATTTTATCATCACTCAGTAATTCATTCAGCAGCTTTGATAGTTGAGACTTTATTAAGGGTCTAACTATTGTCTACTTTGCTTATCCTTGTCTATCATCAATATACTTCACTCCAAGCCCTCCCTGAGCTCAGTGCAGCTTAGGACATCAAATTAAGTTGTCATCCATCCTTCTGTAGGCTGACAGCAGTCTACCCTATCACATTCTCTCACATTCCTGCTTCTTCTTCGTCAGGAGCACCCCCAACCCTCAGCACTCATCTTTGAGTGCTGTAGCTTGCAAAAACCCTCCCAAAGAACAGGTCCTACCATCTAGGTACTGTATAGGCACACCACCACTCACTCTTTTTGTCTTTTGTGTTGGTTTTGGTTGGTTTTCACCACTGAACCACACTTTGACTCACAGCACATAGAAGGTTCTCTTGTCAACCTCTCTGCCTTGAGCTGCACCCTCAACTCTACCCTCTCCTGGTAGTCTTTGAAGATGCCATTGATGTGGATCTGTCTTTGCTCCACTGGGTGCTAGAGGTCAGTGATGACGATGGCACCTGGGACTAAAAGGTTTTGGCACATCACAGATTTCTTGGTGGAGTTGCACATGCACTTGTCATGAACCTTTGGTACAGTAATTCCATTGTCATCAATGTATTTCCACCATGAGTAAATGCTGGCCTGCAGAACTCTGACAACACATGACATGCTGTGGTGGAAGGTTTACTCACCCAAGTCTTGTCCCAGTCCTCCACCTATGCATAGATCATCTCCAATCTCTCCTCTGGCTGTGGCACCACCTCAATCAGGTCCCAGATGTGCCCTAGAGCTGCAATGAGTGCTGTGGTCACCTGGTCCCTCATGCTGAACATGGGACACATGTCATTGACAAAGTAAGCTTGCATAGTAGTTGGCAAGGGTAGTGAGTATCTGAGAATGAGGTGGTGGAGTAGCAAGGGTGAATCTGATGATGAGATGGTTCCTGGGCAAGTTTTTTTAATTCTGCAGGGTTGCTGCTGATACATTATCCAGGTGCAGAGTTTTTGCTCAAACAAGGCATGTGGCCGAACACAAGCCTTCTTCATTTACATCACCTTCTGCATCTCTGCCACCCTTCTGTTGCAACTTGATGACCTCTGACTGAGGATGGTCAGCATTTGAAGACCCTGGGAGGTGTAGGGAGCAGTATACTCCCTGAGGCCGAAACAGGGATGCTAACACCAAAATCCTGCCATTACCAACCATGCCTGTTGTCTTTGGAATTATTACATCTGCCTCATGTGCCACCTTACCCATTAAACCTTCAGAGCTCCCCTGTCCATCAATAACACACACCAGTCATTGTCCTGGAATTCCATGTCAACATCAGCCTGACATATGTCTATCTGGAATTCTGCAGTTGTGTTGCTTCAACCTTTGCCTCACCATGTAGCCAGGAAACCACATAGATCATCAGTAAAAACTCCAGTTACCCCTCTCATTCCTTTCCCATGCACCTTTCTCCACAATGCAAGAACCCCTTTTGCATCTATGGCCTGTACCCTTCATGTTCCACTCCACAATACAGTGTACACTTGTCCTGTCAGAAGATATTCATCTTTCCTGTTGGTCATTCTCAGTTACTACTTTACAGTTTGTTTTCACATGTTGCTGTATGGCCTTGACATCTGACATGTTGTCCCCTTTGTTTTTCGGAATTTTGCTTTACCTGCCCCACAATTCTCCAATCAGTACCTTACTATCCATGTACTATATAATTCCACCTCAGCAACAAAAAAGAATCATCATTTTTAGGACTCACAATCTGTGTCATATGTGGGTCTAAAGAGTTCAGAGAGTTGTGCATCTACTGTGTCTTCTGCATATCCGTGTCCTTGCATCTACTGTGTCTTGTTTCCCCTCCCATGCACTTAATTCATCTTGGAGTTACTTTGTCAGGTCGAGATCATCACCTGGAATTTCAAAAGCAAGTCTATTCCTACCTCCAACTCCACAGAATTAAATTCTGTGCCCTACATTTGACTCTTTGACCAACTCTACCATTGCACTCTACATCTCCTTCCTACTCAGCACCCCTTGGGTTGAGCCTAGGGATTTCCCCTACAGCTTTCCCCTATTCACACACTACCCAGAGGTAGTGTCCCACACTGCAATATGTGGAGTGGCCTTCAAATAGTCCATGTAGTGTGGATTGGTCACCATATAACCTAGTCCATCTATCAACCACACTTGATCTTCAGATTTCCACTCATGCATGTGTTCTGCTTTAAAGTTTCTGTCCATTACTACTGTGTGGGTGAACCACCAGCTGAAGAAGGTCAGCATATGAGGATTGCATTATTTGAGCCACTTACTGGTCCAAATTCTCATTGGTATCAACATTTATTCCAGGCTGGGGGCATGCTGCACAAAATAATGCTAGTCTGCCTTTCTCTGCTGACCTGGTTGTTCTGTGGAATCCATTCCATTTAAGTAGCTTGAGGTATCACCATTTCTGCACAACCCATAGAAGCTCATGGTATCTATCCTGATTGACCCTTCAGACATTCCAACACTTGGAACCAAAATACCAAATATTACTGGAATGAGGTGTGGAAACACACTGGATTTGATCCAATTCAACTTGCTGTAATAGTTCATGCCAGATGTTCCACATTCCAGGTTGTCCCTCAGGAAGTCATCCAGAACCATGAATGTGAACGTAGTGCTTGGCTTCTTGAATGTTGAGGGAAATAGCTTGGCTCTGAGTAA